AATATTGGAAAAATTATTTTTATTAGAACTTGAAAAACAGTTTTCTGGTGAAGAAGGCCATGGAAATTTTTTAGATTTACATTCTATCCATAAACAATGTGTGAATTTAAAAGATGTAAAAAAAGATTGATTATTTAACTTTTTTAATCGAATTTGAACATTCCTCAGACTATCCAAAAGAAAACAAAAATGGAGAATATTTCAAGTAAAAATTTCTAGAATTAAATATAATATTTATATATATTAAAATTTATGATATTTATTTTGATTATAGATACTTGAAAGATTTGCGTGATTATTGGAAAGTTTTTTTCAAAAAGGGTCAACCCTTTATCCAATCTAGAAAGTATACGTAATGTAGTAGAAAAGAATTTAATGAGAAATGGTCTCAAGGAAAATCTCCTGGTTGGGAAAAAAAAGTTGGGTTTCGTGAAATTTGTTTTGTGTAGCATGTATGTGATGTGATAGTTATCTTGCTGAGGATTATTATCATTTTTATTTTCATTTTTATTTTTTAATTAATTTATAAGTCGTAAATCATATTCAAAGACAACTGTCTACGACGCACATTTAACTGGTAAAAAAACACATTAAAGCTGCAAATACAATAATAGAAAAGGATGTTACAACAGTGGATTATGAGACTACAAAAGGATTTTGAAGAAAATAAAGTAAGTAAAAACGTGAAATTGCATTTTTAGAAGCCTTGAAACAAAAATATTCAGAAAATCAGACACTCAATGTGAAGATACCAAAGCAAATGTTGAAAGAAACATGCATTGACTGAGAGAGAACGTAGAGTAATGTATCAATCAATCAATGAATTAAATTAAAACATTATTATAAATTATTCTAATTAAAATATAATTATTTTTTCCCTAAATAAATATAATAAATAGACGGAAATTGGAGTCTGAAGAAGTTAATGATATTGGAAGCGAGTCAGAAGATGAAGATAAAATTTATAATCCACTTAAGTTGCCATTAGGATGGGATGGTAAACCAATTCCATACTGGCTTTATAAATTACACGGACTTGGTATAGAATATCCATGTGAGATTTGTTGTAATTGTGTCTATATGGGTAGAAAAGCATTTGATAGACATTTTCAGGTTAATAAAGAAACTATGATTATCTTTTATTTGATATTTAAAATAGCACAATTAAAATAATATAAAAAAATTTTTTTGAACTAATATTTATAGGAATGGAGGCATGCACATGGTATGGATGTTTGGGAATACCTAATACAAGGCATTTTCATGAAATCACTTTAATTGAAGATGCTTATGCGTGTAAGCAACTAATAAAATTTTTTTTTCCTAATTAGAATATAATTTATATAATTTATATATTAATATTTTTAAATTTCTAGTATGGGAAAATCTTAAAAGCAGATATCATGGAAGAATTTGAGGAAATGTTTTTAATAAGAAAACTCATGATGATTTAAAGAGACAAGGATTATTAATTGAACAATTTAATATTTAATATTTTTTACAAATTTTAAATAGATAAAATATTTTGTTTTAAATCAAGAAACCAATTATCATTAATTGCAGATATGTGTTTCATATAAGTTGATAATAATATATATTACTTGCTGTTTCAACTTTTTTTTTTGTTAAATAATGTAGAGGAAGGATGAAGATTATTAACACTTTAAATTTATTGATGTATTTAATAATAATATTTACCAGTTAGCCTATCATTTACTATGGTTTTATAATTAGTAGGCTATAGCAGGATTTCTATGATATACATTTTAAAACTTGATATTCATTGCCACAAGAAAAAGAGCCAAACACTCACAAAGTTGTATTGATTGTTTCTTTACACTAAAATTTCATAAATACTATTGCAAATAATATATAATTCTAACAACAACATTCTTCGTTGGGGTGGTTGGCCAACTATGTAGATCAAAATTATATCATAGTGGTCTTTCGACCTTTAATCTTTGTTGAAAGATAAGAATATTGAGAATATTAATAATCAAACCACGTTAATTTCAGAATTTTTAAGACATAACAAAGTTAGGCATCTTCAGGTAATGGTTTCCTAATATTTATTTTGAGGGGGAGGTAGACTCCAGAATATATGAGTCTTCCGCATCTTCGTAAAGAGTGATTTGAATAGAATCCTCTTGACGTAAGGGATTTTACCTATTAACGAAAGGGTTCGAATATCAATCCTCTTTCTCTTTATAATGAAAAGGCATTTTCATTATAAGATATATTTATTTATCTGCTTTAATTATTTTTCTTTTTTGATTAATTCTTTGACTGTAAATTTATTCCTAATTTATCTGACGAATATGATGTAAGATCCAAGAGAAATGTAAAAGGAGGCAATAACTTCTTATTTTCATCAATGTTTTTATAAATCCTTTGAACGATACTTCAGTATCTGCATTTACAAATAAATCCCAAATTTTATTCATTGCCAAAGAAAACAAAAGTCTCCCCTGATGATGTGGTGTAGTAGCCATTTTATAGATTAACGGAAAGTAATCGTTAATCCTCTGGAATTCCCAAACGTAAATAGTTTTAATTTCACTAGAATTTAGCGGAATTTATTGGCTTGGCCGAAAGTCACGTGATAAGCTTGCGGCCACGTGTATATTTCAAAGCATCTCTAAATCAGACATATTTCTAATGCGACAACTTAAGGCAATGAATGATGGGTCAATAGCCACTAGTAGACGCCTTAAAAAGAAGGCCAAGTCTAATAAAGGAACTTTCTATCACTGGGATCATAATACACTGCCACAAACCTATTTAATATGTTAGGAATTGGTAGGACTTATTTTGAAAATATCAGAAATTATCTGATAAACAATTGACTTATATATCAAGAGGCATTGTAAAACTTTATTTATATTTGAATACGCGTTTGCAAATCCTTTGCGAACATACATGGTAATAGACTAAAAAGAATAACAAATAATTTTTTGAGGAAATCTAAGACTAGAGACTTGTTCTATCTATCAATCAATTGATAGAATTAAGGTGTGGAATTCTACACTTTTGAAAATTTAGGAGATCTTTAGACCGCTCGCGCCATATTAAAAATAACTTGTGTTACGTATTATAACTTTTAAATGCTGAATTGAAGTTTATTTTGTTTATTTTTAGACACTATGTTTCTTCTATAATTTAATTCGTGATCCCTTTTAAGAAGGGAAGCAACAAAATTTTTTAATAATGCTACCCATAATCTCAACACATTTCTAAAATAATGTGTAATAAAATAGTTCCAAGGAGAATAAAGTATGACAAACGCAATAATAATAATGACAGCACCCTGCTAATCATTACTAAAAATCTTTTATTAATATTAATATTTAATATTTAATATATCAATTCGGATCAATCCGAATTCATATTCATATCATCCGCTCGGAACCTTATGTAAACATGAAACAAACAAAAAATATGAAGTCAAACAACAATTATCTCATTAACAAATTCTTCAACAACGCTTAAAGCCGTAAATTCCAAAAAGGGGTCTAATAGAACAAAGATATACCACCCTTTAATCTAAATAGCATAGTTCATTCATATAAATAATATTGAAAAGCCGAAATGGTTGCCGTAATTACTTTTTTCCGAAAAACAATTTTCGGAAAATAACTTACAAACCCATCTTCCAAATAAAATTTTAGAAACTTTTCTTTACATGGGTACAATAATAAAATATTTTTTCCATGGGATAATTTTTCAAGTAGTCGAGTCTAAATATTTTTAATGATCATTATATAAAATTTGGAATTAAATATTATATATATATATATATATATATATATTTATATATTTATATTTATATATTTATAGATAATATTGTTCTAATGATATTCCAAATATTTCAATAGCAGATAAATTATTTTCTTTAGAATAAATGTTATAATCATCAGGAATTTTACCTGATATTGCACAAATGTTATCATGCAAGAATTTTGACCAATTAATAAAAGTTTCCATATCAACGGTAATATTATAATCCAACATTTTGAAAAAAAACCATTCGTACATATTTAATTCTTTTGCTGAAAATCCTGTGATTTGTGCCCATCTCTTACCGCTACCATAGTAGACATCGTGTAAAAATTTGCAAGCTAATCTTAATGCTGACACGAATGCTATATGTGGATGAAGTGATAAAGGGTTTTTTTTCACCAACGCACCTGGACAATAATTCTTATCATGCCATGATAAGCCATTTTTCTTGTAACATGTTGTTGTTTCATTAGATGATGATGTTAATGATGGTAGATTTGTATGAAAATGTTTGGTATTTGGATCTTTCATGTGGTTAAAAAATTTTTTAAATCTCATAATATAAAATAATGTCAATTCCATTGTTCCTACTGATGCTTCTGATTTTTTTAATACTAATCTAAGCCATAATATTTTATTAGGTGTAAAGTTTATTTCCCATATCACTTGAAGGGCATAAATTAATGTATCTATGAGGAAATTTAAAAAATTAATAATAATATTTATTTATTTATTTATTTATTTATTTATTTATTTATTTATTTATTTATTTATTTATTTATTTATTTATTTATTTTTGAGGTGGATTGCAGATAATAACTACCCATATAATTTACAAGTCTCCTTTCTCCTTCGTTCTTTTCTTGATAATATTTTTTCCATACAGTGTCTGCTTTGGTGAATGCTGTTTGAATCTGATTTTTAGGAAATACAAAGCTCTTGATTCTTTGTTGCTCTTTGTTGTTGTAGTTGCCTTTAAACAACTCGAAATTATTTACATCAGAAAATAAATCAATCAAGTCATGCATAATGTATGAATAAATTAGAGAATTTGATGATAATTATGACAGAGATATTATTAAATTTTATGTGATCATCATCCCATATTAAGTCAATTAGATTATGAAATAATTACTTTATTAAGATATTGTCGTGCATTAGAAGTTTATTTTTAAAAATACATGATTATATATATAAAATTAGAAAAAATGATGGATGGTTTATGCTGATGTAATTGGCTCAGGAAGATTAATATTAACATTTTCCCGACTACTTTCAATCACTCTTGGGAGTTTAAGGTAAAAATTAAGTCCAACAGCAATAAAAAGTGCAATACAAACTATAATAGGTGTAACAATATCATCTAAATTATTTTTAAAAATAAAAAAGTATTGTTAATTGATATGGAATGATCAATATTATTAAATAAAATTCACCCAAACAAAACAAAATAAAAATTATTACTTACCATACGGACCAGGCTTCCTTTCATTAATCATTTTAGTTCTTTTATTGTAGTTGATTAATGAATATATTAAAACAGACACACTTATTAATGCATAAAGGACACCACAAATTTTACCAGCTTTATTTTCAGTGCCACTGGCATTGAATAATGCAAGAGCAAATGAACCCAATAATACACTAAATCTCATCCAGGAAAAGAATGTCCTTTCATTTGCAAGATAAACTTTAGGCTCTACGCGTATTTGTGTGTTTATTACTTGAGGAATTCTGACATTTGGTGGTAGTATGACTGATTTAGTTTTAGAATGACTGTGTCTATGAAATAATTTATTAAATGTCTTGAGAACTATCGATTCTTGTTGATCTTCTTCTCCTCCCTCTTCTCCTCCAAGCAAAGGTGCATTCTCGTCAGTAATATTTTCTCCCTCTTCGTCAGGATTATATACTTCGACAGCTTTACCCTTATTTCTGCTACTGATTTGATTTTTTCCGACCACTTCAACATTGATAATACCACTATTTGGTATGGTTTGTTTAAGTCTTCTTGAGGAAATATAATTGGATGAAGAAGCTGGAGTTTCAGTAGATAAATCATCATATATATTATGAGTGCTTGGTGGTTTAAGAATATCTTTATCCATATTTGGTAGCTATTTTCAAATTATTGCGGTTTTTTTTTTAAAAACATTTTAAATTATTTAGTTAAAAAAAAACGTGTATATGTATGTATGTGCAGAAATAAAAATGGACGGGCAATTACATACCCAATATGGTAAGGAGGGAGCTTCAGCAGTGAATAATGTGGCAACACCGTGAACATATTTTGAAAATTGAGGAGCCTCCTCAACTAAATGACTTCCAAGAAATTCTTGTACCCAGCCTGGTTCATTACCATTCGCATTAAGTCTAACTTCCAATACGGCATAAGGAAATTTGGCATATTCAGATGATGGTAACTTGTCAAATTTATCATCTTCAATGTCTGATCTTCGCCATTCGCCTTCACGACGACGTATAATATCAAAATTGTCCTCCCTTATCATATAGAAATCTGTGTCAAGAGAAATCCTAACACGGTTATCGCCGGGAATTTGAAATGCCATTCTATTATAATATGTGCGAAGAACTTAATATAATGGGAAGTATTGATGATAATGATTAATTTTAAATTTTTTTAAAAAGTAAATTTAAAAATCTATCATTATTATTATAAATAATATAGATTACCAGGCTGTAGATTTTTATCTTGAATAGTGTTTTGAATATCTTTGACCAATTTCACAAATTGGTCAACGTCGGTATCTGTTCTTCCGGGAGTTTCTTTCATTTTCTTGATAACTTTTTCCATTGAATATGTGCCTTTTAAGAATGAATCCACATATTTTTTTTTGATAAAGAATCGATCTTTTATTTCATCATCCCCCGTTTCATAGATTTTTCTTTCAAGAAAGACGCCACCATTTGATTTATTTCCATACCAACGTAACCTGATTATTTGATCGCCAGGTTTACGGTCGACTTTATCTTGGTACAGCTCAAATGGTTCATTGTCAAAGTATATTGAGGTCACAGATGAGTCAGAGCCAGTTTTATAGAGTATAACTGGTAAGTGACGGAGAATAGTGGTTTTAACTTCCATGATGTTATTCAAATGGACCCAGTATTTACGAGACTGTCTCAACAATCTTTCTTGTGCTGGCATTATTGTTTGTGGTTTCCATGAATTAGACATAGATTGAAAATTTGGTGTTGAGCTCAAGAATTGATCATTATTTCCTAATCTTTGATGAACGATGTGGTATAAACGTGAAAGTTGTATAATAATAGGTTCATAATTTTCTTTGTAGAAAGGACATGCATTCAAACGAACATTAAACATAGGACGCAGGATGTAATGTGTTCGCCTAATTTATATGATATGATACGTAAAAGTTCACACACATATATATAAATAGTTAAAATGATAAATCGGATTTTAATAAATTAAAAAATCATAATTTTTACCTATCATGTTTTTTTACAATTTTGATAATGCCAGTATAATTTAATCTTGCATATTTTGCGAGCTCATTCAATTCTTCAGTGATAAAATTAATCTCGCGTTCAACTTCTGCATATCTATCAGGAATATTCATTGAAGGGCTTTTACTTATTGATTCGACTGCATTTTCACAATGTTGAACACGACCTTTAATTTCCTCATATTTGGAATTTTGAAAGGCATAAATCTTTGAAAAAAATAATATTATTAAATTATTATCAAAATAATTAAAATAATTATAGTTATCTCTATATTTATAAAATAATTTTTATACTTTTTCTAATTCTTTATCCAACAATTCTACAAAAGCAGATTCGTCTTTTTCTGTATAACCAGCTTCCTTTTTCTCCCCTAACTTTAAATGTTTCTTTAGACCATTATAGTCCAGGTAAAATTCTGCCCATTCACCATATAAAGCTGCATCAAGTTGACTACCAAATTTCATTATAGTTATTTACTTATTTAAAAAAAATTTTTGTTTATCCAAAAGGAAAGAAAGGAGTATTTATTATTGTTTGTTGTTATCGGTGTGACGATGTTTAGATGTTTGTATATAGATTTTTATCATCTATACAATTTTTAATTCAATTATTAATTCATACCAAAAAAGAAAAGATCGGGCGTTGTCGAGTTCACGTTTCACAGACTTTTCATTGGAATTCAACTTTTTCACTTTATTCTTTTTTACGCGATCATCAAGGAGGGAGGGGACAAGCGACTATTATTTATAACGATTGTTTAATATTAATATTAAAGAAATTCGTTCTTCTTTTTTTTTACACGATCATCAAGGAGTGGGCAAGCGACTATTGTTGTTGTTGTTGTTGTTGTTGGTATTATTATTTATAACGACTGTAACGATTGCTGTTCACAATCTCTTGGAAATCTTCAGCTGGGAATAATCAAAGCCCAGGATGTGCAACTTATCCACTCGGCTAATCACAACGTACACCTGACCTTCCACAAACATGTTTTCATCAACATTTAACGTCACGTGCGGTATAAGGTTTAAACCTTGGGTCTTGTGATCTGGAAATGCAATTTTGCCATGGAAAGTTTCCTTTTATTTGCTTATACTTTTCAGGGTTGGAAACGTCACTTTGACACTTTTGTCGTCGATTATCTTTCAATAACAATGGCTTCATTGCATGTATTCTCGTTAACAGTTTGTCGTTCAAGAACGTCACACGAGTGCCTTCTTGCAAGTACACCCTCTCAAGTAAATTTTAAAACAGTCGTATTCCTTGTCGTTTCATAAACGTATTTTTAGACAAAGGGCGATAGAATGTTTTGAAAATTTGATTGCTGCCGAAAACGATGTCTTTGTAAGTTTTACTTTTCTTATCACTCCTGTAGATTGCAGTTCCGTTGACAGACCTGACTGTGGAACTGCAACAGAAGGCAGTAAACTTGATGTCATTTTTTTCAATTTTGGTAATAGCGAAATAATTGAGAAAAAGAAAATGACGACGATGATTGTAGTGATCTTTCCGATTTAGCATCGGAGTAATAGTTTGTATTGTCCTTTAAAGGCCACAATAACACGAGTATTTTAAATATCGATATGCTACCCACTACACGGATCAAGATGGTTTTTTTTGTCGATCGAAAAAGCAATAGTTCTTTATTGTTTGCTAAAATCTTTTTCATTAAAAAATTAATGGTTTTTTATTATTTGTCAAAGATCTCCCTCATCCTCATCAACTGTAATAGTTCTTAAAATATAACGATGAATGACATACATTTTTGTCTTTTCACAAAAAAATAGATACATATTGATTTTTTCTTATTCTTCTTAAATTCGTGTTTGTCTCAACACGGCACGGAAGAAGATAGTAGAGAAAATTAAATACAAATTAAAAAACAAGCAAGAAAAAAACGGGAGTTTTCTGACCTTTGAAAGATCAGCAAGTCAATTTTTACATCTCTCGAAATAAAAAATTTCTTTCCAAAAAAATCCAAAAAAATCAACAATTAAACATGATTAGCTTTTAAAATAATGTCATCTAGACAATTTAGCCAAGGTAAAAAAAGCCATCGTGGAGGTCGTGGAGGTCGTGGAAGAGGTGATGGCGGCGGCGATGAAAGACATGATATAAAACTTTCGAAATCTTTATCGTATGTTTTACGACATGGAGCAACGAAAGAAGGCTTAAATATTCGTGAAGATGGGTATATCAAATTAGAGGAATTGGTAGGGGGAAAATTAGTAAATAATAAATTAAATAAATTTTCTATTAATTCAAAAAATTATAAAACGATAGTTTAAATTACCAAGATTTAAAGGAAGAACTTTTGAAGAAATTAAAAAATTAGTAAAAGAAAATGATAAGCAAAGATTTACTTTGAAACAAGAGACATCAGATGATAATATAACTGAATGGTGGATAAGAGCTAACCAAGGACATACTTTAGAGGTTATTAATTGATTATCATTATCATTATCATTATCATTATTATTATTATTATTATTATTATTATTATTATTATTATTATTATTATTATTATTATTATTATTATTATTATTATGGTGATGACGATTTGAGGATTTATTATAATTATATATTTTTTTTTTGTAAAGGTAAATGATTTAGAATTAGAAAAAATAACAGATTCCACACAATATCTAAATGTTGTACATGGAACATATTTAAAAAATTGGAAAGATATAGGTATATATATTTTGTATCATGAAAATTTGCTTATTCCTTTCATTATTCCGCCATTCATTATTTCGTCAATTTATATGTAGAATCACAAGGTCTTTCCAAGATGAAACGTACTCATATTCATTTTGCAACTGGACTTTATGGTGATAAAGATGTTAAAAGCGGTAAAATTGATATACTTTAATAATTTATATTTTTACATAAGGTATTTATGATTAATGAATTGCCCACTTTGTATTTTTATTAGGAATGAGACACAATTGTGATTTATTTATATATATTGATATGAGTAAGGCCATTGAAGGTCGGTAATAATTTAATTAATTAATTTTGATTTTTAAAATTTTTTTAATAAAAATTTTTTTTTTAATAAAAAAAGATAATATTGAATTTTATAAATCCTCCAACGGAGTAATATTAACAGCAGGAAATGATGGAATTTTACCACCAAAATATTTTCTTAAAGTTGTTGATAAACATGAAAAAATATTATTTCAGAATTAAAAAAAATTTTTTATTTTTTAATTAATAAATAAAATAATAAATAAATAAATAAACAATAAAATAAACAATATAATATAAATAAAATGAAGTAGTAAATATAAAATATAATATCCAAAAAAAAACTAATTATACAAAATTTATTTATTTATATATAAAAATGAAATATATTGTTTATTTTTATTTGCATACTAATTAATCTTGTTCATTTTTCGTATTATTATTGTTGTTGTTACTATTATTATTGTGTGAATTATTTCCATGACCACCGCCACGATGATAACGATTCACGAAACGACCCTTACCACGAATACCACGTCCTCTTCCTCGACTATCATGATATGGATCAGCTTTATGAATTTTTAACTGGTTCTGCTTAAATGGCTATTTACATGCGTTTTAGTAGAAAACAAACAAATCAACGAATAAAATAAGTAATTATATATATAAGTTATATTATATTATATATTTGCATAGATTTATTATTATTATTATTTACCAGGCCATTCAATGTCAACGCTTTATCAATTGAATCAGAATCTATAAAATCTATAAAACCAAAATCTCTTGGTTTTTGTGTCACCTTATCGTTCATTAATCTAACCTTTTCAACCTTTAAAAAAATTATTTTATAATTTACAATTATAAAGATAGTAATGATAATTGTTATTGTCATTGTTATTATAGATTTACCTGACAACCAACTGCAGTAAAGTGCTCTTTCACTTCATCATCAGTAGTAATAGATCTGGGTATATTACCAACATATATAGAATATGGGCTTCTCTATTAAATAAAAAAAATGAAATATAAGTATTAAATAAAATGAATATTCATAATAAGAATTTTTTAAATAATAGTGGGTGACCTTATTTTTATGACGGTTATCATAATTATCATTTTTAGTATTATTATTGTTGCTGTTGTTTTCACTGTTACCGTTATTGTTGTTATTATTTGATGCAGAATCATTCTCATCACCCTCCTCTTCCTCCTCATCACCTTCATCGCCCCCCTCGCCACCATCATCATTATTATCGCATTCGCTTTGAGTTTGATCTGCCCAATTTTGTGATGGTGGTAATTCGTCATTTATATTTTCTGATAAACTACTATTAATATTCTTATAATTATTATCGTTGTTGTTGCTGTTGCCATTTTCTGAATTACCATTATAATTACTGTTATTATTGTTACTGTTGTCATTAACAATTGAATTTTCATCAATAACGGTATTACCATTGGTAGAAATCAATGTCTCATTTGTACTGCTACTACTACCATTATCACTATCACCTTGTTTTGTTAGTAAAGAATGTTCAGAATAATTATTATAATTATTATGATTATTATGATTGTGATTAACATTGTTATTATTATTGTAATTATTAAGATGATTATTATGATTATGATTATGATTATGATTATTGAGATTATTATTATTACTATTATTATTATTCGCTATAATTTTTGTGGAAGATCCATTTTCATTTGGAGATGAAGCATAACCATTATTGCTATTCCAAGATGGTTTATTATTATTATCATCATTGAGCGCTATCGGTACTGGTGATGAAGATCTTTGTGTTGTCAAAAATGGAGATTGCGTAATTGTATTATTATTGGTTATACCATTGGTTATAATTTGAGGATGAATGATAGGAGATGGTTGTGGACGCTTAACATGACGATCAGCTGTAGTGGTAATAGGACTATTTGGTTCAACAATTGCCGAAGTTTGCGAATTACCAGGAATGTTATTTACATTTAATATTGCAGAAGTATTATTTCTACGATAAGCGAAATTAAACCCTAAACAAAAATAAATCGATAAATTAATAATTATTAATAATAATCTCATTACAATTTATATATATATATATAAATAACCTTGTGCTTTCGTTTCAGCTGAAATTCTGCCATCCTTAATACCCAATGAAACCCAACCAAATTGAGCGTCTGGTAAGTTAAAATTCCACATATTTTTAAAAGAATATTCTTCTTTGGAAGGTAAAGGCACACGATCAACAACACTAAGTGCATTCTGCAACAATTGTTTTTGTGATTCGCTTAATATAAAAAAATTCAAGTTAATGATCTCCTAAACAACAATTAATAATATATATTTTTCATCACCATCATCATCACCATCATCAAATTCTCTGATAGAAATAGTAATTATATTTATAATTACATACTCAATACGATTCTCTACTTGATTTTTAACAGTTTTCCAAGTCTCATAAAAATTTATTCGAGATGTCTCCAGTTTCCGACGGAAACTTTCTTGGTCAGCTTGTACAGAAAATTCATTATAAGAAATACCATAACGAAAATGAAGACCTGCTGATACGGTAAAGTCAGCCTATAAAGATAGAGAACATATACCTATTTGAGTATTTATATTTAAATTTTAAATTAATTAAATAAGTTATCTCATTAAACTTACACGTAACATAATTGATAATTGTGCTAAAAGACCTTCACGACCAGGACTAGCATGTGTTACAAGCACTCTTGTTTCACTACTATCAAATACCTAAAAATCATAAATATATAAGATTTATCTTTATAATTTAAATATTTTTGGAAGTAAAATGAAATGATAATAATAATCTTACTCTTTGAGCAGTATCAACCAATTTACCAATTTGTAAAATTGTTGTCCACATAGTTCCCTGACCACCAGCTATAGTTCCAGTACCTATAACATAGATATACAAATATAAGTTATGTGGACGTGCGTATAAGTTATTCTAGAACCGAAAAGATATTTTCCCTAAATAAAAACTTGCCTTCCCCAATGTCAAATAGTTTATGGTGTACAATAGCACCGCCTAATCCAAATAATCGTAAACTCACACCACCAATATCAATCAAATAAGTCATTGCTTCATCTAAAATGTTTAGATTGTGTACTTTATATTCACCAGTACGAAATTTCTCAAGAACAGCTACATCTTCGCAAGCTCCCCAAATTGTATACACGGGAACTTTAAGAGTTTTTTTTCCTTCTTTAAAAAGTGAAAATTCAGAGAGAAGTGGTAAATCGGATTCAAGTATCACTTTACGTAATTCTGTTGAATTAAGAGAAAGAAGCCGTGATTTCTCACGTTCAGGTATAAGTATAGTATATTGTATATTATGACGAAGAGTTCTTATTTTTTTAAAAAAAAATTTTAAGTAATGAGTAAAGAGTTTAATCATTTAATGGCAAGACATTAATAATAATGAATGAATTAATCAACTAATTCACTACTGGTCAAATAAATATAAATATAAAACCAAACCTATCACTCATGCGACCAAGGCTTTCACTTTCTTTTTTAAAAAAATTAAAAAAAAATAAAAAATATTATTGTTATTATTATAATTATTAATTTTAAATAATGTAAATCATTAATTAAATTACCATAAAATCCAAAATCACCAGAATGAATTATATATGATGCATTGGTTTCTTCAGCTAAATTATTTAATCGAGAAATGTCTCCTAATTATTTCAATAAGTGAATAATTATAATTTAATAATATATAAAATTTTCTAAAAATATATATATATTTTTTAATCTTTAAAATTCCATATCAATTGGCATCCAAAATTATTTATAGTTCAAATTATCTTTATCACCTCTTATATCAGCTACACAAATAATTTTACCATCCTCTGTATTAATTACATTAGGAGTACTCTGTGAAAGATTTGTTGTATTTACAGATATTGAATTGGGAACTGGAAAGTTTCTATAATTTGATGTCATCGCTGGATTTAATTCGTATAATATTGTCACCGGATAAGACGATTCGCGTTTATAATGATATATTATATTTTTTTTACTTTGAAATTGATCCGAAAGTTTAAATCTTTAACTCTTTTCTATACTTTTTTTAATAAAATAAAAAGATTCTTATTAACCACCTATACAACAATGAATATGAACAAAAGATTACTTGATAATAGTCCTAAATATTATAATTAAATATTTCTTAATTATTAAAGGTTTCAAAAAAAAATCGCGAGAACAAGTACAAAATTTTAAAGAGTGGCACAATGTAAAGAAGCAGCAGATCTTTATTCTGATCATGTTAACGGTCACATCCTGGTACCACGTTTTCTAAAAAGTGTTGATGGTACAATATGTGTGGCAAATTATCCCAAGTCGATAAACAAAAAAATTGTGTAGACAATGTACAAACATTGTTCCAAATTAGTAAATAATCTATAGATAACAATCGACTTCTTTCTATGCGTGTGCATAGTTCAACTTGAAAAAAAACAATCCATAAAAAAGATCAAATTCAATTGGAAAAAAACAATTATTGTTCAATGCTTTAGCCCAACAAAATACATTCTTGGACGATAAGATTCGGCTAGCGCATTTTATTTGTTATTTTTCACACCTTTTTTTTATTATTATTATTATTAACTTTAAAATTTTTTCTATGCGTAATATATATAGTCTTAACAAATAAAATTCATTTGTAAAATGTTTTTGAACTTTACTTTTGTATTTTCCATTATATTATTTACACAGAAAAATGGTAAAAGATCAGCAATGAATATTTGAAAGAAACAAAATTTTCTCATTTAACAAATAAAAGGCTTTATTTTTTTCAGTAACTAGAATTCATGCATTTTACAGTTGTAATTTTTTAGAAAAAGATGTTAACATTACCACAGTAAAACGTTAACAAGTCAATTTGTAATCTTGTAATTAAAAAAATAAAACTTGTGTACGATTTCAATTTATTATTTTAAAATTTATTCTTTGCGTTATTGTACAGGGTCCTGATTATTATATCATCAAATTCGAAATTCAATATATATTCACCATTATTTAAATCAATCAACTAAACCAATTCGATGTACTTGTAAAGTTACTTGCCGAACTATTGTTATAAATAAAAAAACACACCCAAATTTTAATTGGTCTAAACGCGTAAATTATTCCCATTTTTAAACAAATGCTTTTTAAAAATTTAGAAGAATTGGTGTTGTTTAGCTTTAAAAATTCAATTCACTATCTACTTTCTATACATATTTAGTAGATATTTTTTTATAAATATTATCGCTCAAATTAATAATTTTATGCAATCAGGCTTTTTAACTAGTATTCATTCAATGTTACACTCAATCAATTAACTAAATAATTGTCATTACCACGTGATGCTACATACCACTTGGAGATTTTTCAAACCTCTTTTTTTTTATTATGATTTTTACCCTTGGGACCTCAATTAGAAGTCTCCAGAATCCTATATATATAACGTAATAATTATTAATTGTAAGCCGCAAAGTTAATTATTCACCAGGAATTTTCACCCAAAAAACTTTATTATTATTGGTTTAATAACTCGTAAGGACATTTTCATTTTTTAAATAATATTATTATCAGGTACGTGTCACTATCAATTTGTAGCCTTTTCCTCTTTGATAAAACAATAAAGGCAACGGATAACGTTTTTCATAAATTGTTCAATTTATATTAGTAAAGAAATGTATTTATAAATATGGGTTTTCCTGCTTTTCTAAATGAATAGGGTTATTATTACATAATGAATTTACCCAAAATCTTATTGGCTAATTAATAGGATCCCTAACATAAATAGACTAATTCATAGCATAGCTAAACCCTTTTGTGGATAGATCTGCGTTTCACACATATTTCGATAATTTATATGTGAAGAGTATTGTAAAATCGAAAAAGTACCACTTAGAAAAGTGGAGCTGCACAGGCTATATAACATTACCTCAAAATTTTCTGCTATTATTGTTCTTTTCTGAGTCTGGGCGGAATTGGATTTTGACTTTTATTAATAACAAAGTTGCTCTAAATTCGATTATTCGGTCATAACATTCAAATTTGTTAACGATCTACATATTTCAATTTCTGTCAACTAAGTTGTAGAATATGCATGGATAAATAGCATTAACCTGCTTGATAAGTTATTTTCTTTTGTTAATAAGGATATTTAAATGGTATTCCAAATCCTTTTCATTTTTGTTCGGTCACATGATTTTGGCTTATAGATTTCAATGGCCAATGATTTGATTTTATTTGCGTGACATTTTAATTGAATTTCATTGGTTAATTTCGATCCGATTTTTGCTAAATATTAATATTAGAAGACCTTTTCATTAAAGAATTCACTTCACATATTTCCTAAAAGCGAGTTTGAATGCTAAATTTAAAAAGAGCTTTATTCAAGTTCCAAAAGATCATAATTTTGATCCATAAGTATCTATCCATCTAGCATACATATTTGTTTGAATGCATTGAATCATTTAACAATCTTTTTTTGCGTCCTTGAATAAAAAAAATTTAAAGAAAAAACTTTACTTAATAAAGAAAGAAAGAGAAAAAAATGGAAAGGGGAATCAATGACAATGACGTATGTGTGTTTGTGTTAATATTAATGTGTGTATTCAATATATTATTATAAAATTGATTATGCCATGTATAATTGAAACCATATAACTGTCAACATAGTCATCTTCTGCATCTTATACACCTTTAATAGAAGAAAACAATGAAATTCAAGCAACAAGTCCAAAAGTTTCTACCTCAGACGATGGTGTAGACAATGATAGCTTACCACATAATACTTCTCTTAACAATCATTTTCATCAACATTTTGATGAACCTGTTCTGAGAAATTTCGAAAAAACTGCTAAAATCACCCCTTTTGTAGTTACCTCAGCTTTAATTGTGGCCATTGGTGGATTCTTATTTGGGTATTATATATTATATGTGTGAATTAATTGTATTTATTTTTTTATTAAGAAAATTTTTTTAAACATTTTTAGATTTGATACAGGTGTAATTAGTGGTGCAATGTTGCTAATTGAACGTGAATTTACTATGACAGCTTTTCAAAAAGGAATGGTAGTTGGAGGTAAATAATCAAAATCCATTATTTTATTTGAAAACAGAGTTTTTTTTCAATTAATTTGCAAATTTTTGTTTTTGTTTAGCAACAACAATTGGTGCACTTTTTGGTGGATTGGGAGCTGGTAAATAATTGATACTGATGGAGATAATATTATTATTTTAAAGACAATGATAATAATAATAATAATAATTATCACATCAAATATATATATTAAATAGGTTCTTTATCAGATTTTGCTGGACGTAGAATTACATCTATACTTGCAGCCATTGTATTTCTTGTGGGCTCTCTTATCATAACTTTTGCTGGTACATATTATCTTTTAGTTGTAGGTCGATTTGTGGTCGGATTAGCAACTGGAATTGCTTCAATGGTAGTTCCTATTTATATTAGTGAAATATCTCCAAGATTTCATCGTGGTCGTCTTGTCACTATGAATGTTTTGTTGATTACTGGTGGACAAGTTATTGCTTACTTGGTTGGGGTTTTTTTTGTTTCCAATGGTGGTTGGAGATGGATGTTTGGTGTATCCATTATCCCTCCTATAATACAACTAGTTTGTAAGTAATATATTTTTTGTGCTATATAATACTTTTGTGAGAATAAATATATTTATGAGAATATATGCAATTATGTGAATCTAGGTATGCCATTTGTTCCTGAAAGTCCACGTTATCTTGTAAAATCTGGTAAGCCTGGAGAAGCTATGGATGTTCTGCATAAAATTTACCCCAAAGCTCCACAAAATTTTCTAGATGAAGGTTGAACATATGTTATTATAATGATTATTATTTTTAAATATCAATAAACTATTCTTATTAACAGTCTATAAATTATCCAATAGAAATAGAAATTATACAAAAAACTATTGAACAAGATTCAATTGGATCTTATCAACAATTATTAGATCATCCAAATCTTAGACCATTAATCATTGCTTGTGGTCTCCAATCACTTCAGCAACTTTCAGGCTTTGATACAGCCATGTATTATGGTGTATGTAACATTTATTTTGATTTCCAAATAACTAATATTTTAGCAATAAATTAATATTTTTTTAAATATTTTAGGGAACTATGTTAAAAATGGCAGGATTTGCTATCATTAAAGAAGCAATTGTATTTTCTATACTATTATCAATCACAAATTTTGTAATGACTGGTAATTAATTTTTACAAGGATTATCTTATTACCAAATCCACATCATAATAATTATATTAATAATTTTTTATTTTTTTTGTAAAGTTGTTGCATTATATATTATAGATAGGGTAGGTCGTAGAACTATACTTTTGTACACAATAATAGCAACTATTATTGGATTATTTCTTCTAGGAGTTGGATTTGCTTCTATTATTGGATTTGTACCTAAACAAGTTGCATGTACTGATTATGGAACAAGATGTGCTGCTTGTGTAATTGATGATAGATGTGGATTTAGTAAACGTTTAGGTGGAATTTGTTCACCAAAAACTGATTATGAAGAATTCTATGATTCATGCCCTGATGGCAATGTACTTAAAAGTTTATTTGCTCTTTTCACTTTGATGCTTTTTATAACAGGTGAGTTTGCATTTTTGTTTGTATATATATATTACTTCTTTATTAATTAGTTTTTTGAATGGTTGATAAAGGTTATGCACTAGGACTTGGTCATGCACCATGGTTAATACAAAGTGAACTTTTTCCTTTGAATATTAGAGGCCGAGCATCTGGTGTTGCTACAGGTATATCTTTAATATTCCTATAAAGGTTTAATATTATAAAAATTTGTTAATTTAAAATTTCTTTAAAAAAATTTTATAATTTAGCAACAAATTGGTTTATGAATTCATGTGTAGTTATAGCATTCTTGCCATTAACAGAA